GTGCTGCAGCAGATCACTTGCAATATAGATATGACAGTGATTTGTTGCTGCAAGGAGGCACTCGGCAGAGCTGTAGCTGCCCTATTCCAGGCTCTATACTCAGAGGAACTGCTGGGACATCACTACACTCCTGATGTACACTATGGAGCGAGCTACACTATGGAGCGAGCTGTAAAAGCATAAGAAGCCCAGTTAGCGCATAACTCATAGATATACAAAGCAAATTGCCCTGTTTACAATTAAGTCAGTTCACACAACCAGATTGCAATATTGTACGCTCCCCCCAAAAAAAAAAACTACATGTAGTGCATTTTTTCACTGCAGTGTGTTTGTATATATTAGATCACCTGGCAATGCAATGCAGTAAAAAGGACTTAAAGTAGAATTTAAGTCTCAATTTGTTTTGCATATATCTACTGCTAGTAGCGAGTAAGCAGTAGATGCCACAACATTTACATTTTGAAAATATGATGGTGTAGTCACTGAGGGGCGCTGTAAAGCTTTCTCGCACAGGGCGCCTAAAGGCCTAAGGCCGGCCCTGCTTGTATGCTGCCTGCTTGTCCATCCTCCTTCGCCAAAGCGGAATCAAATTGGTCTGCATGGCTGTCGTCCAAGAAGGAAGTCTCTTCTAAAGATGATGCACAAGAAAGCCCGAAAACAGTTTGCTGAAGACAAGCAGACTATGGACATGGATTTAAAACAAGAAAAATCTGCGCTTCTGGACCCAAACAAAAAAGAAGAAAAACCGGAGTAGCCAGAAGCTGCTATAACTTAGGCAGTGAGCCTCAAAGGGATAGACAATTAATAGTGTAGCACTAAAGGCTTTATAGTGTATAAAACCAAATAAATGTGTCAAGTGAAATATGTCTCTTTATAAAATATGTGTCAGTGAATAAATATACTACAACACATAAATTGTAATATGTGACTGCATAACAACTTAGTGAGTGAAAAAATAATATGAAAAAGCTGAAAAAATCTTCAAACCAAGGATACTGCTTATATCAGTGAAAAACACAAAAAAGAATCGTCTAAACCAGGGCTCAAAATTTCAAGTCCTAAGCTACTAGCCAGGCCTGAAAAGTTACTCGCCACCAGTTGCCCCACCTAACCCCTGCCCTGCCCCGGCCTTAACTCCGCCAGGTCAGCGATGTTATGGACCCGCTGATCGCCTATATGTGAAACACCCGGTACCGGGTGTTCGCATTGGACGGGTCTTTTCTGCCCGTGCGTGCCCGCTAGGGGGCGCGCGCGAGCAGAAAAAAAATGCCGTCTGGCGACGGCAACCCGCGAATGCGACAGTGCCGTCCGTCCGTTTTTCTACTACGGGCGGACGGCAACTGGTTAAGAAAGACAGAAAAGGACACTTTTGAGATTTATTGGATCAATATCACATTTATTTTCAAAACCATTTGTCACAATATTTTTCAAAGTTTTAACAACAAGTTTGTTTTGAATAACCACGACTATTTGGACACAATAATCACAGATTTGTTTCACTTAGTAATTTGGACACAATATTGCAAATCTTTATTTTTCATTGTTTAGACGGATTCTTTTTTGTGTTTTTTACTGATATAAGCAGTATCCTTGGTTTGAAGATTTTTTCAGCTTTTTCATATTATTTTTTTCACTCACTAAGTCACATATTACAATTCATGTGTTGTAGTATATTTATTCACTGACACATATTTTATAAAGAGACATATTTCACTTGACACATTTATTTGGTCTTATACACTATAAAGCCTTTAGCGCTACACTATTAATGGACTATGGACATGGATTACTGGAACCATGTCCTGTGGTCTGATGAGACCAAGATAAACTTAGGTGGTTCAGATGGGTGTCAAGCGTGTGTGGCGGCAATCAGGTGGGGAGTACAAAGATAAGTGTGTCTTGCCTGCCGTCAAGCATGGTGGTGGGAGTGTCATGGTCTGGGGCTGCATAAGTGCTGCCGGCACTGGGGAGCTACAGTTCATTGAGGGAACCATGAATGCCAACATGTACTGTGACATACTGAAGCAGAGCATGATCCCCTCCCTTTGGATGCTATTGAGCATCTGTGGGGCATCCTCAAACGGAAGGTGGAGGAGCGCAAGGTCTCTAACATCCACCAGCTCCGTGATGTCGTCATGGAGGAGTGGAAGAGGACCCCAGTGCCAACCTGTGAAGCTCTGGTGAACTCCATGCCCAAGAGGGTTAAGACAGTGTTGGAAAATAATGGTGGCCACACAAAATAGACACTTTGGGCCCAATCTGGACATTTTCACTTAGGGGTGTACTCACTTTTGTTGCCAGCGGTTTAGACATTAATGGCTGTGTCTGTTGAGTTATTTTGAGGGGACAGCAAATGTACACTGATATACAAGCTGTACACTCACTACTTTACATTGTAGTAAAGTGTCATTTCTTCTGTGTCATTACATGACATGTGATGTGATAATAAAATATTTACAAAAATGTGAGGGGTGTACTCAATTCTGTGAGATACTGTATATGATGCATCAGAAGTCTGAACGTTTGTAAGCCATTATGAATTGCTTTTGCTAAAAAAAGGTTTAAAAAAAGTAAAATAAAGTATATGAAATTGAACATCTGAAAATGAATGCATTGGAGGTTTCTGTTGAAATTTGCCATTAATGGACTAGTGTAGCATGCTATAATAAGATAAATCTTTATCACTTCAGCCTGTGGCTTGTAGCAAAGGATGATGCAAGTAAAAAAAGTTTAATTGCACGCCTCTCCAGTTTGAATCTGCTGATAATTTGCTGCCCCCCACAGTATGTAGTACGTATAACATTTTGATAAAGTCATCACTGTATCATCTTTATATTGATTCTGTGCTGGGCATGCATGTAGTATAGAATAGTTTATGCTAGGTTTGCTGAATAACCTAAGTTATAGCTATGGCTGAAATTCAGTTATAATGGTTTGCAGCCTGTATTAACTTTATTACTGGATTTATGAAATGAACAAGGTATGTTTGCAGTTTAATTCTCTACATATAAATCAAGCACCTACCTAAGTTGTTTATGGATTTATTCAAAAATATAATATGTAAAGATACATAGGGAAAGACTAAACTCATACAAATATATATATTCTAAATTGTTTAATCGTACCTATTGAGTCTTTGCCATTTTAGCTAAGCTACACCCACTTTGGGTCACATGTGCAACATCAAGCAGTGGTTTATACTTAAAGTGACATTAAACCCTCAGATTTTTTAACATAAAACAATACTGTAATGTGTGCCTTACTGTAATCCATGGTTGTTTCCCTTCTCTTTGCTGCTCTTCCTTTTAAATCTGTATCTGTTCTCTTGCTGGGCAGAACTTCTGTTTTGCAGCAGACTGCCTTGTCTCTGAAATGGATACATGGTGTATACGTGTAGGTTTGCAACCTGAGCCAGCACTACAGGAAGAGGCACTCAGCTGCAAAGGGAAGTTCTCCCCAAGCATGAGAAGAGATACAGATTTAAAAGGAAGAGCAGCAAAGAGAAGGGAAACAACCATGGATTACAGTAAGGCACACATTACAGTATTGTTTTATGTTAAAAAATCTGAGGGTTTAATGTCACTTTAAGTATAAACCACTGCTTGATGTTGCACATGTGACACAAAGTGGGTGTAGCTTAGCTAAAATGGCAAAGACTTAATAGGTACGATTAAACAATTTAGAATAAGGCATAGACAGATTTATTTATTTTTTAATTATGATTACCAAATTTTTTTCTTTTAATTAGAAACTAAGGTAGCTTATCATTTCTTTCCTCTTGCAAAGGTGAAAATAGTTTTTTTTGATTTGTCTTTTTTATACATGCACTAAAATGTTATTTCTGGTACAAAACACGGTTAAGTTATTTACTAAATAAATTGATGGCTTTAGTACTAGCCTGTAATACCCCTTCATTACCATGCCATTTCGTAGTTTTCGGTGCTGTGATAGTTTGACTGACATGCAACACTGTAACTACATGAATTTTATACAATCTCAGATTTATTTTGGTGTTATTTAATAACTTCTGTTTTAAATTTTTTTTTACTATATAACAGAAAAAACATCAAAAAAATCAAAATAAATGTTTACCATACATTGTTATAAAACATATCAAATTTAAAAAAAAAGTAGACCCAACATGGTGACCTCAGTTTTGCTATAATGTTTTGTAATTGAAGAAAAATGCTGTCAATGAGGGGTTTAAAACATATAACACTACAAAAGTTATCAAACAAAATAACTAAAAACTCAAAAAAGCTCAAAAATAGCTAAAGGAAAGAATGGCAATGAGGGTAAACTAGGTTTAAAAAGGGGTTACATGCCAACAAAATGATCTTTTTTTAAGTGCAGATTTGCTGAACATACATTGTGTGCAAATCAATTAACAATACTTTAATTTACATATAAGCACTTTTCAAAATACTTGGTAACAATAGTTCTAATAGCATAGCTTTTCAAGAGTTTAAAGCAGAAAACCATATAAACATATTTTATGTCCTACACACCTAGTCTTTAACAGTAAAATAACTATATAAGCATTTTTAGGATGCTTAGGTACAATATGAAGATTTGGCCAGTTTATTTAGAGGAAATTAAAATATATACATTTCTGTTATTAAAAGGGAAATGTAAAATGAAGGTATATTGGAGATAAATTGGAGTTTCTCATTGAAACACTGAACATACTGTATAGATTAGTCACTATGCTAAATCTTTACAAACAGCCTATAACCTCTAATTTCTTTATAAAACTGTTTAAAACCAAAAGCATCTAGACAGTCTAAAAAGAAGAATGTCATATATCAGAGCTTTACAGGTGAAACTCGAATAATTACAATAATAATTGCAAAAGTTCATTTAGGGAAATAAATGAACTTTTGCACGATATTCTAATTATTTGAGTTTCACCTGTATTGTCATTGTCCATTAGTGTAAATACAGTTAACTTTTCATTCATTACATAACTTTCTGAATTCTGTGTTTGTTTGCATCTTTAGATCAGCTTGACATTGTTTCGATGGCTGAAACCACCATGACGCCAAAGGAAATTGAACTTGAAATGACTAAAATCCAGCGGCTTCGAGAAGTTTTAGTGAGACGGGAGTCTGAACTCAGATTCATGTGAGTTGTATGTACTATCCAGCAGCCTTCTTTTTCCCTTGGCTTTTCTGTGACATAAAGCTTCACCCACTTCCTGCACTTCATTTCTCCGCTCCTCCCAGTTTCTGACCCAGGATATGCTAACTCTGCCTTCATTAGCATTGTCTTTATTATATCTATACAATTTTTGGAGAAGATTCTGTGGCCTTTTGGTTAATGTAGTCTGATACTTCCACATGCCTTCTACCATGACTTGCACATATATGTTAACTGAAGATTATGTCTCCGCTCATGGAGCTTTAGACTACATACATCTTGCCCCCAGGCAGATTCCCTTACTTTTAGATGTAGAATAAAAGCAGCCCAGTCTTCACATGTCTTTTCTTTAGCTTTTAAAACAGATAACTTGTAGAACAGAAAGAGCAGTGGTAGAATACCCACATTTTTCTTCACCGCTAAGAGTTCCTGGATAATTACTTCCCCATTAATAAACATGTTACAGAAGTATCCATACCCCCCTGCTGATTCCAGCATTAGTAAGGGAGACTGACATGGGGCAGTGAAAGCACTAGCAAGAGCCAGCAGATCTTCTGTACAAAGATGCTCATTCTTTTAGGAAAATCAGTGGTGGTGCCCTTGCTCTAACCTTTATTTCCAGTCAATATAGGTGACATAGGATAACCAGGAAAGAGAGTCAGCGATCACCAATAGATAGTGGAGTATAAAAGTAATTTTATGTTTTACTTATTGCCAGAGGGCTTAACAAATGTCAGAAATGGGCAGAGACCACCAGATACACATAACTACAGTAGAAATGGTAAATATAGCACATTTTCTTATCTGAATTTCCCTTAATTCACTGGAAACATACAACGTACACTAGACTTTATAATGTCAACCTGTGAATACTACAGAAAGTGAAGGTGCCAGAGAATGCAGAAGAATGTATGGGATTCATGTGTGGTTAATGTGCATGAATATGTGGTATATTTCTTAACCTTTTAACTGTTTCTTTGGAGAAGGTCTTTGTGCAGATTGCAGACTACTCTGAGCAGTTTGAGGTTAAAACTAGATTGTCTGACTGAGGGACAGACTGAGCTTCCTCTCATTAACACAAAATGCCTCAAGGGCTTAAACGTTTGTTAGGACAGAAAATGTTCAAATCTTGTTTACACCTCATAGTTAAGTCTGCCAGCACAGTACAGACAAGGTTAATTAGAGTTAACAAAACTTCTCACAACCCCCTAGGAGGCTAGGTAGTATTTCCAAGAAAATATAAAGCACTTAAATATGTAAACAGCATTTTTTTTAAGTGACACTAAATTCAGTAGTTAAAACTTAAAAATGCATTCAAGTACCCGAATTGTTAACAAAAATCTACCTTATTTGTGAATCACTCACTGTAGATCATCAAATCATCTCTGAATTCATCCTGACACTGTCCTTCCTCCTGAAGGGTGGCTACTTTTGTTCCCCATGGTCCCTGTGTGTGTTGTAAAGTAGCCACCTCTTCAAGCTTACTCTTAGGATGGACTCCAATCTCAGTATAAATTAAACGTGAGATTGGAGTCCATCATGGGAGTGAGCTTGAAGCAGTGGCTACTTTACAACACACACAGGGACCATGGGGAACAAAAATAGCCACCCTCCAGAAGGAAAAACAGTGTCAGCACCAATTCAAAGATTATTTGAGGATCTACAGATGATGCACAAATAAGCTATATTTTTGTTAACTATTAGGAGTTAAATCCTAAAAATCTATTCAAGTACCCTGAGTTTAGTGTCACTTTAAGTTATGCAATGTAAATGGGAACATATAACAAACATTAAGAGGGTTATTCACTATTGAGCCGAAGGATTAAGTTGAAGCATCGGCTAATCCTTCAGCCCAATTTGGCCCCAGAGCCTTCTGATCCAGCCGAACCGAAGGGCTGCTGTACGGGCTATTCATAATAGCCCGTACAGCAGCTGAAGGCCGGCGAAGAGCTCAGCTGAAGTCACAGCCGAGGCAGACTGTTCTCACCACAAATGTAAACAACTGGGTGCAGCCAGCCATGATGTCACGGCTGGCTCCGCCCAGGTGTTGTCATTCAATGACAGCCCAACGTTCTCTGAATGACAACAAATAGGTCGCGGCCGACTCCGCCCATGATGTCACGTCATGGCCGACTCCGCCCATTAGTTATTTGATTCAGCCGGGATGTGACAGGTAGCTCCGCCCAATTGTTTATATTTTGCTACCATCTGTCAGAATGTAATTTTGTGGTGGGAGTTCGTGTGCAGACGGGTCGGCAGGTGTTGAGGTTTTTGTTTTTTTTCGGCGAGCCGCAGTCGTTGACAACGCTGGACTGTGATTTTTGTGATTTTTTTAAATAAAGGAATTGTCAAAAAATGTTGGTGTTTTTGTTTCAATTGAAGGAAATTTTACAAAAGTCTGCTCTTTTTAATTACATTTGTAGTTTAACCCTTTAGTGAATGAGTAGAAGTACAAGTACCCCTTACTCATTCACAAGGGGGGCAGCATCTGGGTGTCCCCCTGTGTTAAAGGGGGTACCCCGAAGCAAATAAGCCCCCTTGCCCACAAACCCCCACAACCAATGCCCCAGGGCTTGTGGGGAAGAGGACCTTGTCCCCATCGGCACGGGAACAAGGTGCTTTTGCAAGGGGGGCCCTGGAAAAGCACCCTCTCATTGCCAAGGGCATGTGCCCTGTTATGGCAGGGAGGGGGGTGCTCGCTTGTCCCCCCCTTTCCTGCCCTCAGGCTTTACGCCTGTGCTCGGATTAAGGGTCTGGTTGGGAATTTTTAGGGTGAACCCCATGGTTTTTTTTCCATTTTTGGGGGTGGGGTTCCTCTTTAAT